TGTCATTCTCTGGGGGAGGCAACCCTCAATTTGATCCAAACAAGCTGCCGGACATTGAGATACAACAACCTGGGGAGCAAAGCTCCTCAGACCAACGACAACATGAGGTGCAACAAAGCGCCTTGGATTACACAACTCAACAACTCCCCATGATGCCAATGGGCACTGTATACCCCCAGCCTCCCCAAAGGGGCTTTCAACCATACACAGTGCAAACTGCACCGATGGCGCAACAAGCACCATTCCAGGGGCAGCAATTGCTGCTGCAGCCCCAGGCCTACTCTCCAGGGAACTTCCCTGGCCAAATCACTCCCTGGATTGGCCAATTTGGCCCAGGTCTGACAACACCCCAGCCAAATGTAGGCTGGGAATCAGCTATCGCATCAGCAGTAGCTGCCCAGACAGGTCAACTCTGTCAGGAGTTGAAAGAGATGAAGTCCCTCATAGGAGGGAGACAAGGGAGCGACAGCAGCTCCTCATCCAGGCCATCCAAACAGGCATGGTCTGACAACTCGAGGGTGTCAGATGATGCCTGCGATAATTGCGCCCATTGGAGGCACAAATACAATAGAGCATGCAGAGATGCTGAAGACATCTTTGCCTCTCTGAGAGATACAGAGAGAGAAGTCAATCTCCAGAAGAGGGAGATCAAATTATTAAAATGCGAGCTTGAAAAGGCATGCATGCTGGCAGATCTTGCTGCCAAACCCATTATGATGGGGGCCTCCCAGGTCAGGGGGAGGGGATACAGTGCTGGGGCACCGACTATCCCGCCACCCTGTGGGCAGGCAACCCTGTCCAGGTTGCATAAGGGCCCACCCTCAGGAGGGCAAACCCATGTCAAGGGGAAGAGGGAGAGCGGTGGGCAACTGATGGCAGACCCCAAAGCAGGGACCACTGCCAGAGGCGGTGGGCCACTGAGTACCTCAGCACCCTATGGGAAAGCTACCCTGCAGGGAAGTGTCCATTATACGAGACTGCCGAACTCAACGAGTTTGGCAAAGTCGAAGCTCCCATCGATGTAACAATCAACCCCAACTTCCCCATGAGGAGAACAGCAGGGTCAGAAGTGGTGCACAATGCTGCAAGCAGGAATATAGGCTATGGGACCAGAAAACAGAGGGTAGCACTCCAGCTCACTCCCCAAGAGCTAGGGAAGAAAGAGAAAGGGGGCTGAAAGGGTGTTGCGGTAGAACAGGTCCGTATATTCAACAGGGAGGGGGGGATTTTGGGGAAAATATAACTCTGGTAACTCTTGCTTATCTTCTTTCCATGGTGGATTTCCCTAAAGGTCACAATAGCCCTTTACCAAATGTGTGGCCACTCACAACACCCAAGTACATGGACTTCAAAAGTAGTGGGAGGGGGGAAATCTCTGTTTTCATATCAATCGCTATTCATACTGCAAATATACAAATAGTGGAAAAGACTCCGAAATATATGGTTCGGCTAAGCCAAGCCCTCACCAATAACAGCGATAAGGCTCGGTTTCCATTGGCTTTGAATAAATTCCCATACAACAAAAGAAGAATGAAATGTTAAACACCAACTTCCTTATACCGCTCCCAATATCGCGTCAAAACTCCGTCCCTTTATTCCATTCGACTCTCCTCATCCATAGCTTTCTAACGATACCGATTTTGTGAAATTTGGTAGAGATTTGACTGAGAACGGGAATTCTCAGACACAGAATACATATCTTGATTATCCATGCACAGGGAAACTTGGACCAAATAATATGCCATAATTCCAAGACTCCTCCAATGACTTCTTTAGCATTTATATCATTTAACTAGCCCATATTCTCTGGGAATTTCACTGAGACTAGCTTGCATGTGAGCATTTGTAGTTCATATCATCCTGTGACTCCCATCATGCCCAATAATCAGAATATCTCCACAACCACAACCACTCAACCGATTAGGGTGAAATTCAACACTGAGTCTTTGGGCATTTTTCGGATTTAATGACCCCAAGATCGTCCTCTTCCATCAACTTTTGACCTTGTTCCCATGGTCATGGTCAAGTGCACGGACTTCACACATGAGGACATCTCAGGTTGAATTTCTCCACCAAATCTCAACCAATTCCTTCATGGAAAGGCTCTTTCGGTTCCTACGAAAACCCTCTTTCTTCTTTCTTATTACTCCCCCCTATAATTCCTTTTTTCCTAATAATGTACAAGGGCAGGAGCCCAATTTTGATGTATTTGCTGTGTAAGGTTCCATGAAATTGAGCACACCCGTTATGCACTCCTACAACACTGCATATGCTTGGTGGACAAGTGTGAGTGGAAAAGCATTCATACAATGGTACAAACAGGCCGAAGCCACCTTTAAAAGCAGCAAGGTACACAAAGTCCTTTGTGAAAAAGCGAAGGAAACCGAGAAATATTTCTTGGAACTCCCGAGTATTGCAAAACTCATGGAGGATTACAATTCCCCAGAGAACAGGGGACAAATCTCCTGGGAAAGTCTAGGCAAAGCTGCCTATGTGAAGTCCCAGTTCAAACCACTCAGGACTCCTGAGGAATGCGCCACAAAAGCTGCAGGGCGGTGTAGGCAGGATAATCGCCCATGCACAGAGCCGGCTTGGATACCTGTTTCCACGATCAGAAAACCACTTCCATTCACGCGATAACTTGGTACGGATCCGGTACCTAAAAATAGTGCTAATTCCTACGATTCTGGAGATATCAAAAACATCCTAAACGGTGGAGAATTGATGGAGTTCTGCATTGGACAAGTTAGGCACGGCAGGTCACGAGCATGTGTGGGTGTGGGAATCTCAAGCAGCAACCCAGAATTTCAGCCTCACTCATTCCCACAGCGTCTAATAAATTGGTAAAAATTTTATCGGCTGCGTGAGAGTTATATCTGGCTTCATTTCCAATTTTGGCTCTTAATTCCGTAAATCCGTTGAGAAATCGCTTATTTTCTTATATTTTCATATTTTTGCCATCATTTCAGATATTGATTGATTTTCTTTTATTGTTACTGTTGCCCTTTTTTATTATTTCGCCTAATAAGGTATGCAGGTGCCATATGGCACCAATATTTACCATCTATTATTTCTAAAAATAATTATTAGATATAATCCTGTACATACCGGATTTTGAAAAGAAGTTCTCCCCTCCCCCAAATTCTCTAAAGTGCTAGGACATGCTAGAGTTGGAGTGAGTGAGTGGAATTCCAACAGTAGGAATAAGGGCAGCTGTCTAGCTCACAACGAGTGAGTAGTGGACGCTGAGCCCGGACCTTGCAGAAATCCCGGAGAACCCACTGTGGAGTTAAGGATCGAGAGTATAGTGAAGAAGAGAGATTTAGGAGAGTTTGGCCCCACAAGCTTAGTCAGCATCGAGAGCCACAAGCCCTCTTGCAGCAGGAAGCAAAAGCTTCCAAGTACTGGGAGAGAGATGCAAGTCTCCACACTGGACAGACGAGCCAGTGACCATCCTTTCCCATGGGAAGAACAGTAAACTTACTGTATTCTGCACCTGAGCCAAGTGGCTTGGGAACACAACAACCCGCTCCCACCCAGGAAGTGCCCACTTTGTTGAGTCCACAGCTTGACACCCTAGCCCAGGCTACATCATTGCATCCGACGCAGCAATCAGATGTCCAGATGAACAACCCAGAGGAAAACCCTCCTCCAGGGCAGTAACTCTACCCTCAAAAAAAGGGAAAGTGACATGGTAATACACCATTTGTCATATCCATCCACGGCCATCACCCTCGACCACCTCCACTCCTCTGGATTACCTCCACTCCTCCGCCACTAACCTCGGAGCCTCTGGTTTCTGCAACCACCTCTGACCCCCCCGATGGTCACCACCCCTCCAATTCAATATATTACCTATGCCTCCCTAAGTATGGAGCCCCAAAGCTCTCCAGACAGCTCCGACATCCGCTAGCGCATTCCCACCTCTGCTGGGCAATTCACTTGCTTGCCCTGCAAGTCTACCTTCGGGCCCATCCCTCCTTTCCGCTTGTGGGTCTTAACCCGTCATTTGTTAAACCCACAACCCAACTCATCGTAATATTCAGTCAGCTAACATCTATCCCCATTAGCTCCGCTCCGCTCGGTCCCGCTATTCACGGGCCTGCCCTCACTGTAACTATATACTTAACTTGTACATAGGTTACACTTCAGTGATAAAATCGACTAGAGTTGATCCCCCTTTAGTTCTTGTTGCCAGTAAGTAAATTAGGGCACAGATGTGTAACTTGGCACAGCGCTCCTGGTCTGAGTCGCTGGGGCCAAAGCCCTCCACCATGGAGACATCTCCTTCATCTCGATCCAGTCTCTAACACCATTGAGGTGCCTGTGAAAACACCTTCCCTCAACTCAAGGCCCCGCACACAATATTGTATACAAATCAAGTAACAATTGTGGAAACTTCTACTCCATCTAACCCACATCCACCACCGCTTGTGTGTAAACACCATTTACACACGACTCCTCACAGAACAAGTGAGGAGGAATACCAAAGATATACAATCTTTGGGTCAAAATCTACTTTTGAAACTTCCTTCTTCTTCTACTTTCCTCCATTTCCCATGATATCCATGTATCACTGTTTACTTTAAAGTAACAGCCCCTGTTATAGGAATGGACCTAGAATCTTATGGTCCGTGACTATGAACAATCAAACCTTTGGTCCCTCCACCTTTATTTCATTGTCAAACCCCATGCCAAACTTTCCCACTGGGTTTTGGTGCTGGCTGGGGGATTTGTTGATTTCCAAGGGACTTCCCTTGGCCATTACAACCTTTGTACTGTGGTATAACGACCATAGGTTCATTCCCACGGTTTTCAGGGATTGCCGGGTCCTACTGGTGTAGTTCATCCTTGGGTGCGACATGCGACAATCACACTGCAAAGTTCACTGTCTATCACTTGTACTCTTCTTAGCGCCACATCTCCAGTATGACCAGAATGGAAAATCATCCTTTGATAGATACAGTAAGCCAGAAATTTCCTTTGGCCTCACAACACTCATGGATCCCTTCACTTTTGCCAGCTATATTGAACTGCTTGCGTCCAAACCTTGTGATTTCGAGGATGTTCTGCCATTGTTTATTGGGACACTCCTGCCTGACCTTCGACTCCCTTTGACAACATTTCTCGATTTTCACCTTCCACCATTGCCACCTGAGAATGTCCTGATTCACATTGCATACAACCCCTATCCCCCCACTGTCACTCCACTTAGTCTTGATGCCATCAAGTCTCTACCATGGCCTCCACTGCACTCTGCCAGGCAGTTTCTCACTCTGAGCCCTCCATCTGGTAGCCAGTCTGTGTCTATTGGCAATGCCATGTATCCACTGGAGGTAGCTTCGATCTTGAAATATGTACTATTGGTGCGGGATCTCCAGGATGTGTGGCATACCGCCATTGAGTGGCTAACTGATGGTCTGCATCGAGAGGCTTTACTGCATGACTTGGAGGAAATTTTTTACTTGTTGCTTGGGATGACGATATGGTCTGAGCATGTGTGTTAGAGACCAGATTGAGATGAAGGAGTCATCTCCGTGGTGGAGGGCTTCGGCCTCAGTGACTCAGGCCAGGAGCGCTGTGCCAAGTTACACATCTGTGCCCTAATTTACTTACTGGCAACGAGAACTAAAGGGGGATCAACTCTAGTCGATTTTATCACTGAAGTGTAACCTATGTACAAGTTAAGTATATATAGTTACAGCGAGAGTGGGCCCGTGAATAGCGGGACTGAGTGGAGCAGAGCTAATGGGGATAGATGTTAGCCAACTGAACATTACTGACGAGTCGGGTTGCAGGTTTAACGGAATGACGGGTTATGACCCACAAGCGGAAAGGAGGGATAGGCCCGAAGGTAGGCTTGCAGGGCAAGCAAGTGAATTGCCCAGCAGAGGCAGGAGTGTGCCAGTGGATGTCGGAGCTGTCCAGAGGCCTTTGGGGCTCTGTACTTAGGGAGGTGTAGGTAATATATTGAAAAGAGGGGGTGGTGACCATCGAGGGATGCAGAGGTGATTGCGGAATACGGGAGCTCCGAGGTTAGTGAAGAAGGAGTGGAGGTAGTCCGGAAGGGTCGGAGGTAGTGGAAAACGATGGCCATGGATGGATATGACAGTGTGCCAGGCTTTAGGGACACACTTGGGGTTAGCTCCTTGGTCCGAATTGCATTGCATGCATGTCTGAATGACACCGATCATGAACGATACTGTACGATTCTTCATAAAGAACTTGAAATTGCCCAGGCTCCCATCCAAGTTGCACCACCAATTTTTTTCGACCAAGTATGCGAATTTTTCGGCAAAGAGAGCCTACCTCCTAGAGTGTATGGCTCTCAGTCTTATCGTTTCATGCAAGAGTGGGCAGCACAGTTAGCAAATGGGAAATTGAAGATGCTTGCTGGGATCGCATTTGTTAATCAAAATCACTGGATTGCTATCGTTATTGAAGGCACATCAAGGACCATCCGAGTTGGAGACTCACTGTTTAGTCCGACGATGTCCCAACAAATCCCCATCTATGCGACTTCACTAGTCAATGCACTTTCTCGATGGCTTGCCCATCCTCCCTTTGCAATGCAACCCATCAAGACTGTTCCACTCCCCACTGTGCAACAGGATGATCATTTCTCGTGTGGTCTTTATGCACAAAATACACTTGACAGTGTTTTTCGGCCTTGGACATCTGGAGTCAAGTGTCTACCAAGTTCGCAATTTCGCCTTTGGCTATTTTCTTTCGTGCAAGTCCTGAACCATCACTTGATTAACATGAGCATTCCATCGATTCCAATTGTTCTTGCATTTAATGTAACTACTGTCTAGACTGGTCCATCAATTGACGGTGTGGTTGAACAGATATTATCACTGTTAATACCTGTTAATCTTCCACCTGCATCCCATGTGCTGCAAGATTCACCTGCACGAAACTCTCCTTCCCTGTCCCATGCGTTGCAAGCTTTGCCCACACCCAACTGCTCTCCTCCTTCCCCATCCCCTGTGCTGCGAGTTTTTCCAGCATGCTACTCTCCTCTTGCCCTGATACCATTCCCACCACCTGTGAATCCTGAGGACGCTGTCCCAAAAATCGAGGCAACAGTGTCAAAGCTAGATCTTTGTACTCCAGGAGTGGTAGGAGGCAAGGGGATACTCAAGTTTTTCTCTCAAATTACCCAAGAGGTGAAGGCTGTTGAGATAAAGCAACAATTTGAAGTGTTACATGAATCATCTGCATCACGGGCTGAGGCTGCAAAGTTGAGGGCAGCAACAGTTGTAGCTAGTCGAAGGGAATACAACTGGTTGCGACAAGCTAATTTACATGCTAGTTGGAAGAGAACTCTCACCGATGTGCCAAAAAATGATGGTGATAAAAAGGTGTGCTGCCCCAGTCAACTGTTCTTTTCTCTTTTTTTCACTAAAAGTTATCATGAACAGTGCCAGATCGACACTCCAGATATCATGACAAGCTCACAAAGCCTATTTCAAAGCGCTGGTCCACTGAATGTTGCTCAAGTGTCACATCCTAAGCATGGACTTATGATCAAGGAACGTGAGACAAGTAAGATGAAAGGCCCTCACCAATCTGGATGGCGACAGACAAAGGAGATCAAAGAAGCTGTTCGGACATATTGGTGGGCCCCCACTTTCTTTCTACTTCTAACAGAGGCAGCAGAGAAAGTTTGTTGGGTGGGCCCAACCAAGATTGTACAGCAGGCACAATGCACATCACCTTCGCTATCCAAGAAGCTCACATCTCAAGTGATTGGGAGACATATTGTCAAAGGGAAAGGGTGGAATGATGATGCCTTAAGGAAGGCAGCACAACGAGAGTCTCCTGGGGGGAAAACAACTTGGTGAGGAATTTTGGTATGTAACATGCACTGGGTGTTCTGTCAGTTCTCTCATACCAGGTTCTTCTCTCTTCAGGATGGTCACCCTGAGATAACTGCTGAGATTACTCAGAAACTTAAGTGCTTGCGACAGCTAGGCACTGCAATATCTCTCAGTGATGCACGCTGTCTGATAATCGCAACAATTCAGTTCTACCCTTCTATATTCGAGAAGAAGTTCAAGGAGGGAAGCGTCTTTTGTGCAACTGAGGGATGGGTCCTGAAGTTTCTCCATAGTGTTATGGGTTGGAGCTACCGCAGGCCCACCTGGGCTCCACAGAAGGTACCACACAATGCTGAAGTGCTTGTTCGTACCTCCCTGCTTCACCAAGCATGGTCGATTCACTCATATAACGTACCTGCCGAACTCTGTGTCAATTCTGACCAGACGCAAGTCATCTACTCCGACCCAAAGACATCAACATGGGATCAAATTGGTGCAGAGCAAGTGCCAGTTTTTGGAAAGGAGGAGAAGCGCGCGATCACAGTGACTGTTGCAATCTCCACAAATGGAGTTATGTTGCCACTTCAGGCAGTTTTCTGTGGTCACTCATCCAAATCACTCCCCCCTCCATCATCTCCCTCCTATGATGAAGCCCTGGAATTGGGGTTTCGCTTCGTTGTCTCTAATACAGACACATACTGGGCAACCACCGAAACAATGAAGAAATATGTTGAGGATATCTTGGTCCCATACTTCATGGGACAGAAGAGGAAACTCGCGCTCTCAGATGACTATCATTGTATCTGGCAAATTGATGTGTGGGCTGTCCACACATCTCAGGAATTTCGGGAATGGCTTTATGGCCGATTTCATTGGACCATCCTCGATTACGTTCCAGGCAGCTGCACAGGCCTCTTTCAGCCTTGCGACCTTGTTATTCAACAGACATTCAAGCTCGCCATCAATCGAGAACACCGCTGTGATACGATTAATGACATCCTCAAGCAGCTAGAAGAGAACCAAAATGTTGTTACAGTTGAAAAAGGGCTCCCAGAACTACAATGGCGGATGGTTGGTACGCTTGTCAAGGCATTTTGCGAAGTAAACAAACCCCACATTGTACTCAAGGTGCGCAGCTCATAACTGAATTCTCCCATGCTCATACTTATTCTTCCTCTCAGGCCTTTGAGAAAGCACAATCAGGCGAATTCAGTCTAGCAAATTCAAGTCTCACTAGCCCAGGGATGCTGGACATCCTGAGGACCCTCCATATCGACAATCCACCACTCTTTTTGGAGTTTTCCAAACCACACTCAGTCCCCAAAGTACCACTGAACTGCACTCAACATACAGATGGCATACAATCAGATGAACCTCCATTTCCGTCTGATGATAATGAACCATCCAATGTCCCCTTCAGCACTGCACTTGCCCACGCTGTCACTGGGGAGATTCATGAGGGCCATCTGCTTCAGCTGGGCATGAAATCCATTCAGCCCCGACCTACGCTTGCGAATGAACTGGATAACGACTTTCCTGAGGAGGATGCCAATGATATGGGTTCTAATTCATTGCTTGGTGATGGTTCAAGCGATGATGACTACAATGACAGCTTGGTTTCTTGTAGTAGGGATTCAATCCCTTCGGAGCCGGTGCGCCAAGGGGAGAGGATGAGGAAACCTGTGGATTTAGTGGCATGAAATAGATGGTGGGATGGGTGGTAACGATGGCATTGGCTGGCCAAATTTTTTCTTGATATGCCTACATAATATAGTTGCAGATCCTTCTTCATTAGTTCAAATTTCCATTGCGACATGTGACAACACTATTTTTAGTTCAGTTCAAAACCTTTGTGTGACATGCAACTGAACTTATGGTCGTTATACCACAGTATTAGATAGATACAAGTCATATGACATGTATGGCAAATGCTGAGATGTCTTTCATTATCAAATACATAACCCACAAACCTTGTACTGCGATTGTAACCATCACACCATTGTGCCACCACTGTAAACTCGACCTGTAACCCTGGGACCATGTCCACCTCCCTATTCATCCTTTCCATGACAAAACTGCAATGAGGAGGGCATTCCCATGCCCAACCTCCTGCTGCCCGCTCCCACCAGTCCCCTGGGTGGTTGCCACATTTGTCGCAGTTCTTTATTTCAAATTCCTCTTGTTTACCATTAAGTTCGCTATGACTTTCAGGTGATTTATTCTATTTTTATCTAGTGACATTTAGTTGAAATGAGACTTGAAATGATAAACAAGTGAAATTGTTCAAGGTTAGAACCAAAAAAAGAGTTGCTAGTAGTTAAGAATTGATCAAACAAATGTGTTAGAGCTCTCTGCCTTATTAGTATATCGTTCCCTAAAATTCCTGCCATGGTCTGTCATAGTTTTGTGGTTTTTCATGGTTTTCGTCCATTTCCCCTGGTTCCCATTCGTATTATTGCATCCTAGTCCTTCGTATTTATTGTTTGTTGTTATAATAAGTCGTCCTCAATGATATCATATTTTTATGAATTTTATTCGGGGCTTGGGACCTCTTGAAGTTGTCTTCCCATGTGTCAGAGTCTGCGCATCAGTTTGCACGTAAAGATATCCCCAGGAAACTAGTTGATATCAAAGCTAGGGAGCTAGCCTAGCTGGCATAAGAGCCTTATATACATGAGTTCTGCTAACTCATGAGAGTGTGGCTACACTGGGAATACATGGTAACTGATAGAAGTATGACATCAGATAGGAGGATGGATGATGTGGATGGATGGGCAAGAGCGGGTAAGGGGTGACGTGATAGCAATAATAGTGCAATGAATAGTACCTGCATTCTAACTACATAAATATCTCATGCAATCTCAGCTAACGGTTACATCATTGATATCGCTTAGAGTAAAGGGGGGCTGGATACCCAGCCGTCCCCTGACCCATGCTTCTTCAGGTTACTAACTTCATGTCCTTATATCTCACTCTCACTCATTTCTGAATGGTTTTTCACGTTCTCAGCATCATAAATTTTCATTTAATCCAACCTTTCTAACGGTATTAAAGTCATACTCTAACTCTCGGTATTTGTCAAGTTAGCAAAAGTTTGTGCACACATGTCAGGGCACACTGTCAGGGATGCATCCAGGGTAGAGGGGGTCCGGGTGTAGCACCCAGCAGAGGGACCCTCCTGGGGCGCAACGCGGGCATGCATACTGGTGGGCCCAAGGTGGGACAGCAGCCACTTAGACTGAAGTGGAAAAGGTGAGATTCAGTTCCCACTTCAGGTACATTTATGTACATGCGGCTTGGGTCACATGACGGGTGCCATGTCATCCTTGGACACAGCTGCAGCCATCCGGGTGTCCCCATGGATGTCAGAGACGGGATTTATTGTCAGAGACTGAAATATTGTCGGAGTCGGACATACTGTCCGAAGACGGATGGAAGATGGATGGGTCTCTGTCTGAGTCGAGGTCAGAGGTGATGCAGAGGTCTGTTGGAGCGTGCACATGGATATGCGGGCAGAAATATGCGGCGCATCCGGAAGCGCTGTTCAAGGTTAGCAGAGTGGGATCGCGGCCTCAGTGACTCAGGTGGAGCGCTGTGCCCTGAGCTTGACGTTTGGGGGAGATCCCATATTTACGGATTGACACTCACAGCGGACTTCAAACAAGACTTGCGGGCGGAGCGGACCTGTAGGAGGAGTGTTAGACACTGGTCCGGGGTCGGCACCGAAGGTTGCCATTAGTGGGCCGATATAGGCCGCGATGCCTGTGATGCCTCAAACAAGGCCCGAGGGTAGGGCATTCGGCCTCAGCAACTCTAAAGGGAGTGCTGTGCCCCCTAGCTGTCTCTTGGCCCTCATTTCAGACTCACTGGGGTTGCCTTGTTGGGGTCAGGACTTAGGGGTCGTGGTCACATCGATATTAGAGCTAAGGTACAATAAAGTATCATACAGGATATATATAGGAGGAAGAAATGAATGGAAGCGGACCCGGCCGGAGGCCTAAGGATCTGGAAGCAAACAAGAATAAGGAGTGGGGTTGGCCGCATAGCGGCCGGCAATGACCGAGGGTCAAAACAAACAATAACAGATAATAAAGGAAAGAGCGTAGGGCCACAATAGCGGCAATGGTATCATAGTGGCGCTGGACTCGGAGTTGGGCTGGAGTTGGGCACGGGGATGATAGTGGCCCTGTAGGGGCCAAGTGGGCGGGTAGGGGAGTCGTGCTGGGCACGGTGCCGGAGGCGGACTCAGGGTGGGGAGGTTGGTGCAGCAGTGGGGGAGTCGGCCAAGTGTAGGGGAGCCTAGGGACAAGCAGGGGAGTGAGCAGGGAGTCCTCAGGGAGGATAGGCCTGAGGTTGGGGCTCGCGCTCACGCTCGCATAGTGGTAACGGGCTCGGGTGGCATCAGGACAGGTGGGGAACGGGCCGGAATGCACGGCCGTGACAAGGAGCGTGGACTCCGTGAGCACGGACTCAGAGGGGGGAAGCCCCGTTTGCAGAAGGAGACTCAGACCAGACAGGGGGGGTGTCAGGGATGCGTCCGGGGTCGAGGGGGCCCGGGTATAGCGCCCAGCACTGTAGACCTCGCAGGGGTTGGATCGGGCATGCGTCCTGGCAGGCCCGATAGGGGACAGCTGTCCCTGGCCACTCAGACTGAAGTGGAAAAGGTGAGAAGAAGGTTACTTCTTCGGTTCCCACTTCAGGTACATTTATGTACATGCGGCTTGAGTCACATGACGGATGCCACGTCATCCTCGGAGACAGCCGCAGGCATCTGGGTGTCCCCACGGGGGATCCCGAGGGTATCCGGTGCAGGCGTGTGTGCTAGGCACAGCGGGGAGCCATCTGGGGAGCCTGGGTTGGGCAGGTCAATGGTACATTGATGCAAAGGAAAGTGGTCTGTGTAAATAGAAGGAATAAACAGGAGGGAAATGATGGGAAGAATGAAATAAAGAAAAGGGAAAAGAGAGAGAAGAAAGAAAGAAGGAAAGAGGGAGGAGGGAAGGAGGGAGGGAAAGGATGAGCGGGTGAGGTGTGGCCGGGTGGACCCAGGTGGGCTCGGGTCAGGCGGGTGTGCCCTGACAGGGGGGTACTCTAGTTGATTTCAGACTGAGGTCCCCGAAAGTATTTACAAGTAAGTAGGTAAGAGAAATCAAAAGAGGGACCGGTCGGTCCGGTGCGGAAATAAGCGGAAATGAGCGGGACTTGTCAAACTAAATCAAGGACGAGAACCCAGGAAATGGGAGGCAAGGAATGAATAAAGTCAAAGCGGATCAAGTACCAATATTGACAGATTAATGAATGAATAGGAAAGTGCAATAGCACACGGATCAAATGCCAATATTGGGGTGAACATAATAGGCACTCGGCAAGGAATGAATGTTATGTTGCCAAGTGGCAAAAATGGCCAGAGGACAAAAGCGGAGGTCAGCACGCAGCGCTGATACAAGTCCGCAAATCAGCAGGGTCGGTGCAGTGCCGACACAAGTCCGCGAACAGAGGTTGATCTGTCAGCACTGTCACACAAGGACAGCATGAAGGCCAACAGAGGTACAGAGGGGAGTGGGAGTGTTGACCTGACCAGAGGTGTCAAGGGCAACCAGAAGTGGCCAGAGGGTGCAGAGATGGGCAGAGGGCATGGAGTGGGGAGAGGGTGTGGAATGCACGGAAGCGGGGCATGGCTGTGACCACATAGCGGGAAGCAATGAGTGTGGTTCAGATGGAGACAAGGCAGGCATAGGAACTGGAGGTAAGGTCAGAATACCAGCAGGGTCTAGGTTCTGATTATTGGCCAAGTCTCATGCAATAAGGCAGGGGGCCAGACAGTGGGTGGGGGCTGGTTAGGATGGGTTTCGGGTCGGCGGATTCGCCTATCGGCATTGGTTCGCCGCTGACAGAGCCCTGGGATTTGTCAATCATGACAATGGGGGATCCTGAGAGCATCCGCTGCAGGTGCGCATGCTGGGCACAGCGGGAAGCCATCTGAGGTGCCTGGGCTGGATGGGTCAACAGTACATTGATACAAGGGAAAGTGGTCCATGTAAATAGAAGGAATAAACAGAAAGAGAGTGATGGGAAGAATGAAATAAAGAAAAGGGAAGAGAGAAAGGGAGAGGGGAAAAGAGGGAGGAAGGAGGAGGGAGAGGGTTGGGTAGCAGGCCAGCAGGTGAGGTGGGGCTGGGTGGACCCAGGTGGACCTGGGTCAGGCAGGTGTGCCCTGACACACACCCACCCCACCTGGCTCCACCCAGCTCCACCCGGTTCCACTCCACTCACTACCCCCCCCTCCCCTCTTCCTATTTCCTCCTCCTTCTATTTCTCCCTCTTTCCATTCTCCCTCTGTATCATTCTTTATTCTTTCTATTTCTATTTACATGGACGACTTTCCTTTGATCAATGTACTATTGACCCATCCACAATCCACACACAACATGCCTAGCCCCAGGTGCTCCAGACAACCCCCTGGTACACCCAGTGCACGTGCTGTAACGGGTCTATCGCCTAGACTCAAGACAGAGAGAAGGGGGAGGGTGGTAGTGATTGCTTATGTGGTTGGAGGTCCGGGTTTTTGGTCCTGGGGCGCTACCGGGTCTGCTAGAGCCTCAACTAAACACTCACCTACATCTCTCTTGGATGTCAAGGCTGAGGGTTATGAGTAGAGCAGTCTTAGACGTTAGCAACAAGCTCAGGGGAGATGTTAGGG